ATTATATGTACAGCTTACAAATGTTTAATAAAGCATATGTAACTAGCCTGACAGAGAGCAAAAAAAAAAAAAAAAAATTAATATATTAAATAAGTTTATTTAAGAAATTTTTTTAAATTTTAATATTAAATTTTTTAAATTTTATAAATTATTGATTTTGAAAAAATAGTAAAGGTTAGATAATCAAAACAATGAAAAAATTTTTAATATACTGTATAAAATCATTAAAAAATTATATACAGTATAAATTTATAAATTTATAATTTTATAAACTAAAAAAATTTTTTTTATCAAAGTTATTTAATTAAATATATTAAAAAATTGGATTGAAAAGAACAAAAATTTTAAAAATATTATATTAAAGCTAGATCTTTGCTAATTTAAAATATTTTTATCAATTAATTTTATCAATTAAAATTATAAAATAATTATAATAATATAATTTAAATACTATAAAAAATATTTTATTGTTTTTTTATAAATTAAAAATTTTTTTGAAAATATTTATTATAATAAAAAATATATTTTCTGTCCATAAAAATATATATAATTTCCTATAAAATTTTTAATGTACTTTTTAAAATAGCTTTTTTAAACTTTAAAATAAATTTTATAATAAATTTATTAATAAATCACAAATAAACTTTAAATAATTTTTTAGATTCTAAAAACATATTTTAAAAAATTTTTTCCAAAAGCGAGTGCCCCACACTGTATATACAACGTTCATACATGAAAAATCACTAAATGCAGTATTATTAATAAACATTTACTTCCTTTCTTGTCAAGTTATTCATGAACAGGTATTTTTCGAAAATTTGTGAAATCCAATGTAGTGAAGAATGTTTCGTGGTCAAGATAAAGATGGAGGTTTTTGACTATTGATCTCTATCCTTTTCTTCTAATATCTCCTTTAATGATGATTTTGCCGAACCTCTTTCCTTGGGTTTGGGTTGGGATGAATCAGGTTTCCATCCGATCTACAAATAAGTATAAGTGAGCAGATCCGTTTTGTAATCTCGCATCATAAATTATCTCTTTAAAAATATTACCATATAAAGAATCTACAATAATATATATTATTTATGTATAGGATACATGTTGCAAAGATAAATAACGTAAAGTAATAAAAAAACACTTTTATAGACCTAGAAATATGAATCACCTGAAAAGTAGCGGGAATTGTTTCATCAGGTTTCCCGTATAATTCTGAAGGAAATCAGTAAGAATTTATGATAATTAACAATATATTACCAAAAGAAAAGGTGAAAGTTGACTTTAAATGATAAATTTACCCTTATATATGGACGCAGCTGCTAATAGTGTGTCTCGCTTTAAGAATGGTCGCCTACAACATACCGGATTCATAAAAAAGACGTGAACAAAATTTTTGTAAGAATCTACCACCTGAATACCTTGTTATCACTGCATTACTTTCACCCATCGCTCGCAAATCTTGGATTAATTCAAACATTGTTGGATAATTTACAACAAGATCGTCAACATCCACAGTGGTCAAGGTAAAACCGGCTCGCGAAAGTAAACTTCCAACATCCCTTACATCTGAATAAAATGAGAGATCAGTAAGGTTCATTAATAAGCACGATACATATGCAGCATATATCAAATTAAGCCCCCACCTGTCATTGGAGATACACGTGGCGAAATGCCACCCTCACGTTCTAATTCTGCCAATTGCAGTGATGTTCTATGAGAGAATGTACAGATCAAACTATTGTCGATGAAATTTTCGCGACGTTAGAAGATTTAAACACATCGATATACCTCAGTTCGAACAATGTGTCTCCGCCAAACATTGAAGCTAAAAAGACACCATCGGGTTTCAACGATCGACGTATTTGAATCATCGCGCCTGATAGGAAATGTAAGCGACAGAAATGTTCGTCGTTGCAACAAAAATAAAAACAGCGTACCTGGCAAATCATTCACCCAGTGCAGTGAAAGATTGCTCAAAACGGCTTCCAGTGTATTTTCCTCGAATGGTAATGACTCTTCGTCAAGGATCATTCTCTCAACCTCGACTAAGGAAATGCAAGAAGGCATGAGCAGAAGGCGGCCAATCCAATAAAAGCTAAGAAAACACGTCATGAGTGATCTTCAGACCGTCATATTTGACATCCTTGTCTCTATTCAGCATTTTTTCTGTGATATCATGAGATCTTTGAGAAATACTGCGGCGACAAACAAATTGAGAACGTGTCGCGCGCTTTTTTTTTTTTTTTTTTTAAAAAAAGCCACTTCAATTCTACTGACCCGACATATCGCACATAACCAACTTTCCTATTAGGTCTCCATCAATGTGCTTAACCACATGCCCACATCCACTTCCCAAATCAACGACGACTTCAAATTTTCTCTTAATGTCCTAATGAGAATGGATGGGAAAACGTTCATCTCGTGTGTTATGTTAACAACTCACAAGGAAAACTTTGATAATCAATGTGTTAATGTTCACCAGTAATCTATCAACAATTCTGTATGCGATCTCGTCTTTAATATAGTCAACTTGTCTGCTACTTTCTACATCCGAAGCTGAACGGTCCTTTTGCAATCTTTTTGTGTTACGATTGAAAATCGAGAATGTTGAAGGTTCCGTTTGCTTCGATGCCGTTGCGTAACTATGCAAGTTCGTCGGAACTTTCGGTTTGACAATCCGATGAAACAAGAGTGATCGCATTTTTTTTTTTTTTCCTGAATTTGGATTATGTAACCATATATTGATCTGCAGACAATACAGACTGGTAAATTCCTGTTGGTAATCTTCGTACAAGCTAAAATGGGATATAGTGCAGCGATGATAAACTTGTTAAGCTATAGGATCAAATTTTATCCAAGCCTTGATCTCCTCAACGCAAGAAATGCGATGACTTGTTTTTCTATCATCTGTGTGTTACATTTCCCTGGCATACTTTAACGTATATTTTTTGCGATGCACTACCGGGTATCTATAACACAACTTGAATTACTATTATAAGGAATTTTTTCTATATACCGTAGCATTATTAATATCATTTGTCGTGAGAATAAATTTCTCAAAATGGCTAACAATATGACAGTATATGGAACAGCGTGTTTGCATGAGAAATGTCACAACGCGTGATACGAGTTATCAGCTGCTCTAAAAAGTAGCCAACGCATAACAGTGAACAGTCGTCTTCTTTTTTTCCCTTTTTTTTAGTCGTTTTTTCCTGTGCTACTCAAAATAAAAAAAAAAAAAAAAAAAGAATTTTTAATTTCACAATTCATTACATCATCTATCATCATGTTTAAAGGAAGTAGCCTGTTTAATTTGATAAAAGGAGAACCCTCGAATGCTACCTCGCAAGCTCAAACAAACAGCATCGTCGAACAATTGACCGTTTTATTTCCTGACGCTGGTATGCGCTTAAATACTTTTTGCACCTTTCACTAATCTTTTTAATAAGCTTCTCGATGATCACAATATTAGTCTAACACCGTCAATAACCTGTAGATTCAGAGTATCTGCGTCACTGCGTTACATTTTACCAAGATAACCACGTCGAACGCATTAGTGAGAAAATATGTAATTACAACAAAGGACACTATCCAAGGATTCCGGAGAGGTGCCGGAGTGCCAATAGTATTGAGGCCAAGAATGCCTTCCTCTTTCAATTGAACGAGCTATTTCCCGACTGTGACGTTTCTTTCATACGAGAGAAGATATGTAGCCTAGATCATAGCCATGTGCAGAAGGTAACGGAGGCCTTGTTGGGCATGGAACAGGGTTCAAAAGGTTATCCCCGTAGACTAAACCCTTCCGTCATAGACGCATGGGAACGTATACGATCACCGGCATACATGAAAGCCGTTAGGTATAAGCTGTACAACGATTTTCCGAATATCTGGAAG